ATTATGTTATTTTGTGATCTGTTATAATGTTGTTAACTCCTCAGAAATGTAACTGGAGTTGTGTTTTGTTTCATTCATACATAAACCCAGCCCAACCCAACCCATGTTTAGGCTGATGTATCATGTTATCAGGTTCTTTTTCAGACCAAGAGTTTGTTTTCATACCTGACAGTTTCGACTGCTCACTAGCGCTCTTTCTCAGAGTGGTCACGTGATGTTGCTGTGAAGTGTCCAGTCAGCTGATTTATACAGGTTTCGGTGCTGTCTTCTCACCAGTGGAGGCAGGGTGACAGCACCAGCTGTGGTCCCACTTCCTTCGGACAGTCCCAGGTGTGTGAGAGTAAAAAAGCACCCTTGTCCCGGTTTATAGTCCTGTATCGGAATATCGATATATCGTATCGTTTAATGTGATGATACAGTATCGATATTGTGGGCTACTGTATCGATATATCACCAAGAGTATTTTTAGGTGTGTTTTACTAAATTAATTTGTTACAGTGCTACAGTTTTGTTGCTTGTTGAGTGAAAGGAAACATGACTCTGTTTTGAGGATTAAAATGTTTGTATTTCATATGAAGTAAAGACTTTTAGTATCACAGACATGATTTAACCTTTATTTTTTATTGAACCGTATCGAATCGATTTGAAATATAGCATATCGAATCGAAAGTGCATTGTATTGTGTATTTTTCTGTTATGCCCCTGATGTATGGTAATGTTATCATGCCTGTTATCATCTCTACTACACAAAAGATAAAAGGTAGCTATTAACTTGGAAAGTGCTTCATGACATCACAAGGTGGAACAGTGCTTTTGAGCTTTGGAGATGTAGACAGACTTATAACACAGGAATACTCAAACATGTGTGAATGAAACAAACACAGCCCCAGGTACTGTTTGTTTTTATTGAGACAACAGCATTACAACATGGCCTAAAGCTCACAAGAGTCAATTTCACTTAATATAGGACCTTTAAATGCATGATTACTCAACCATGCATTAATCAATCTAAATTCATCTTTAAGTAAGCTAACAATGAGGGAACACTGTTATAACATGGTTAAAAGCTGCCATGGTAAAGGTGTCCATCTTAAAAGCCACTTAATCCCTTGAAACACGGCATAACCTCTCCCAGATGTCGATGGCATTACTCAACTAAACCAACGCAGATCTAAAAGCGCTTGAACATTGGCCCAGAACACAAAAGGGGGTCTCCGGGAGCAGACAGTGATGGATGTGCATGTCTGCTGCTACAGGCCCAGTGTTAACCATTCTCTGCATCTCTTATCCCACTGCCCTTTGAGGAGGTGCTCCATAACTCTGTATAGCAGGTAGTAGGACACACTGTGCTGGTCAGTCCTGATAATGGTACATGCCCTTGAGAGATGCACCCTGGGCTGTATGCTGGAGCATACAGCTCCAGCATGTATGCATACAGATGTGACGCCATGCTAAGGGCTAATCATACTGTCACTCACAGAGATACAGAAAGTGACGTAAAACCATTTGGCTTCTATCTTATCTTATCAAGGGGGTCAAATGAGGAGATTCACAGAATTTGTTTGGGGGAAAGCCTTGATAACAATGGGTTATGGGTATGGGTGGCAGTAGCTCAGTTGGTTGAGCATTCGCCCACTGATCTGAAGGTTGGCGGTTTGAATCCAGCTCTCAACATAAACATTTCAGGTTGAGCGGCCAGATCCACCAACCCACAGGTTGGCTGGTGTGATTCCAGCTCCCACAGATGAATGCTGTCATTGTGTCCTTGGGCAAGACACTTAACCCACCTTGCCCACAGTGTCTGCGTACACTGGTGTATGAATGTGTGTGTGAATGGGTGAGTGGTTCCTTGTTGTAAAGCGCTTTGAGTGCCTTGAAGGTGGAAAGGTGCTATAGAAAAATGTGACCATTTACCATAAGCATTAGAAATACACTGATGCTCATTGCTATAGCCTATTAGTATTCTATCCACCATCTTGAAGGCCTTAAAGAGTACACAATATCTGTCACAAGACTGATTTATTCCATAGTCAGGATTGATGAATTACATTGGAAAAGGCACTAGCAATTAATCTGAAAGGGGTACTTAACATTTGTTTAAGAAGAAAGAAATGCACATAAATGTAAAGGATGATTCAAGCTGGTCAATTATAACAAAAAGTTCTCCCCAAAAGTAAAAAGGTTTTGTCTGCAATGGCAAGCTTTTAGATTTAACAAAGTCACAAGAGATGAGGCTTCATACAACCTCTTGACATTACTAACCGTACACAGCAAAAATAGTTTGAAAACTTGAGGTTAGCTGGGGAATTGTTTTTGATCCAATTAGCTGGAAGCACAAAGTGAAAAGGGAGGTAGCAACTATATTGTATTGATTGTAATGTTATGTTGAAAATATGCTTTTAGGTCAAATCTGAGGATGACCTATGGCCATGCCTTATGTATAGCACAAATGCTAATTCAAGTTCTCATTGCTCATTTCATACTGGTGGTCATAAGTTACTATTGTAGCCACAGCTGTCCTGGTGTTTAGAGACCGTGCCATTGGCCCCTCTATTCATCACCATCATTCACACACACATTGCACTTTCTTATAGGCAAAGTGGGTCAACTGCCTCCCTTGGATTTTCGGGTAGCTGGGGAGTGCTCGAACCACTGAGCCTTGCACATAATGCTCTTAATTATGATTTATTAACCTTTATTTTTCCCACAATTGGGAAATTCCAGTGTTGTAAGTGTGACTGTTATGTCCTTGATGTGACACTTAGTTAAACCATTGAAGAAGAACCACAGGAGAAGTTTTGGAAGTTTAATTTTCCTCTTCAGATGGTGAAAACTGTAACATACAACAATATTGCTCTTAGAATCTGAGCCGAATGAAACACAAAAATAAAGTGCATTCATCTTATCTAAGACACTATATATTCACTTAATAAAACAAAAATACAAATGTTCAGGAACTTATAAATGCATAAAGAAACTCACGGCATTGCTTGTTATGCACTCCAAGGTGGATTAACAAAGATGAGACCAGCCTGTCAGATCCCTCATGCCGCCTGTCTAGCATGGAAACCGGAAATAGCAAACCGGAAGTGACGCGCCAAAACCGGAAGTTCCCCCATTCCGCTATTTTCTTAATTTAAACCATAAATATTCATTGAAATACCTCTTAAAAATACTTCTAAACGATCATGTAAACCATCAAAGATTTTTTATACATTTTTAAGCATGAAATTAATTAACTTATTTATTGAAAGAACATTATGAAATTAGCAATTGCCTTAAAGGCAACACACTCCCCGCCTGGCCTCTATGAGGCCACTTTAAATGAACTAAACCTTGTAATGATTGTCCTTTGGCAGAAGAAGAATAACTTCAGTAACTGGTCGCATAAAGGTCTTTACAGTGCCTTGATCATTCACTTTCACCTCGATCTTCCTTACGTGACTGTCCTTTCCTGGGAATGTGGCAGTGACTCTAGCCATGGGCCAGCTGTTACGTGGGGCCTGCTTGTCCTTGAGCAAAACTAGATCACCGACTTGCAAGTTTCTGCGTGATACAGTCCATTTTTGTCTCCGTTGTAGTGTAGGTAGGTACTCTCGCCTCCAGCGTGTCCAAAAATGATTGGCGAGAGCCTGAACTTGTTTCCATTGCTTGGTATAAAGGTCTTTGTCCAGGAAATCCCCAGGAGGAGGTAAAAGGCAAGATTTCTGGGTTAGCAGCATTGAGGGGGAGAGGATGAAAGGGTTGTCTGGGTCGGAAGAGACTGGGAGGAGTGGCCTTGCATTTATGATTGCGGTGACTTCAGCCATGACAGTGCACAACACATCGTGAGTGAGATGCACCTTACTTTGGAGTAGCATTGAGTCCAGTATTCTCCGAGCAACGCCGATCATGCGTTCCCAGGACCCTCCCATGTGGGAGGCATGTGGTGGGTTGAATTCCCAGCTGCAGCCTTGGTCCTTTAGATACAGTTGTAGAGTCTTGTCCATTCCTAACTCCTTAGAAGCTCCAATGAAGTTAGTGCCACAATCGGATAAAAGTTTTTTGGCGGGACCTCTCAGTGCAAAGAAGCGTCTTAGGGCGTTTACGCAGCTGGAGGTGTCCAGAGACTCAATCACCTCTATATGCACGGCCCTTGAACTCATGCAGGTAAACATGATGGCCCAGCGTTTGCTTTGTGCTTGCCCACCTCTAGTACGTCTGGTGGTTACAGTCCAAGGCCCGAAAACATCAAGGCCGATGTAGCTAAAAGGAGGACATGTTTGGAGTCGTTCGGGAGGAAGATCTGCCATGCGTTGCTCTTCCTGTTTTCCACGTAATTTGCGGCAGATGATGCATTTGTGGATCACTGAATTAACAAGTCTTTTGCCACCTAATATCCACAGACCTGCTGCTCTTATTGCTCCTTCTGTCAGGTGACGACCCTGGTGTTTGACTTGTTCGTGGTAGTGGCGAGTGAGCAGAAGGGAGACGTGGCTGTCTTTGGGGAGAACTATCGGGCTCTTTTCAAAGTTTTCGATCTCTGAATGTTTGAGTCGGCCACCAACTGAAATAAGGCCATTATCAAGGACTGGGCTGAGTTTTAGTATAGAGCTTTGTTTGGAGATTGGATTGCCAGCCTTGAGGGCATACAGTTCTTTCCCAAAGGCGGCCTGTTGAGTTTCTTGGAGAATGACATGCTTTGCTTGAGTCATTTCATCTTGTGTTCGAGGTAAGTTACATTTGTGCCACCCTTTGCATTCACAGTTTGGGTTAGAGCCATTGAAAGATTTTGCGATGTGGATGAGGAATGCTACTGCTTTGACTAAGGACTTGAAGGTGGAGAAGCGCTCAAAGGTTTTGCAGGTGAGCGTTTGGAGGTGAGTGGCACATGTTTTTATTTGTGGCCTGATTTCACAGTCTTTTTCTGGTTCAATCAACTCAAAGTTTTTGCTTTCTTGTTTTGACTCTGCCGGTGGACGATGAAGGAAGGAAGGTCCAGTGAACCAGATTGTTTTGGTTAGTTGCGTTGCTGTTAGCGAGCGTGATGCATGGTCTGCTGGGTTTTCCTCGGTGCGCACGTAGTGCCACTGTTTTGGTTTTGATGACTGACGAATGCGCTGCACTCTGTTGTGAACATAAGTGTAGAATCTCTTTGATTCATTGCAGATGTAGCCCAAGACTACCCTTACTGTCGGTGTAAAAGTGAACAGCGTCAAACTGAACATCCAGCTCATCCTGAATCAGATCGGCCATTTCTACAGCCAAGACGGCAGCGCACAGTTCAAGTCTTGGTATAGTAGGTTCTGATTGGGGGGCTAGTCTTGCCTTGCCCATGACAAATCCGATGCCAACTTTGTCATCTTGATGCACTGTTTTTAAGTAGGCTACAGCGCCAATGGCTTTGGTTGAAGCGTCTGAAAATAGACACAGTTCTTTGTGTTTTGCCTGACTGAGAGAGGTAGATGTGTACGTTCTTGGGACATGGAGATCTTTTAAGTCTTTGAGGGAATTTCTCCAATCTTCCCATTTGCTTAGCTTGTCTTCTGGAAGTGGTGTGTCCCAATCTGATGTTTCTGAAGTGAGTTCTCTGAGAAGAGCCCTTCCTTGGATAGTGACTGGTGCTAATAGGCCCAAAGGATCGAAGACACTATTAACAGATGACAGGACACCGCGCCGAGTGAATGGCTTGTCTGTGGTGGCCACTGAGAAGGTGAAAGTGTCCGTCATTGTTTCCCAAATGAGACCTAGACTTCGCTGTGATTGAGCTTCTTCGCCACCAAGATCTAGGTCTTTAACAACTGCTGCACAATCTTCAGGGCAGAATGCCTGCATGACTGCCTGTGAGTTGGAAGCAAACTTGTGCAGGCGGAGGTTGGACTCAGCAAGTGAGGCTTGAGTTCTTTGGAGCAAGTCGATTGCTTCAGCTGGAGAAGGCACAGAGATCAGGCCATCATCGACGTAAAAGTGCCTTTCCACAAACTTGACTGTGTCAGCCCCATAGTCCTTTGCTCCTGCCTGAATGGCCTTGCGCAATCCATAAACAGCTACTGCGGGAGATGGTGAGTTACCAAACACGTGGACTTTCATTCGATAATCAATGACTTCCTTGTCAACGTCATTGTCCTCGTGCCACAGAAAACGGAGGTAGTTGCGATGGTCCTCACGTACCATGAAACAGTAAAACATCTGCTGTATGTCAGCCATTATCGCGACAGTTTCTTTACGGAAACGAAGGAGCACCCCGATGAGGCTGTTATTTAGATCGGGGCCGGTAAGGAGCACATTATTGAGTGAGACACCGGAGTGCTGGGCACTGGAATCGAAAACTACCCTGATCTTGTTGGGCTTTTGAGGGTGATAAACCCCGAATGTTGGAAGATACCAGCACTCTTCCCCTTGCTTTAGTGCAGGGGCTACTTCGGCATGGCCATGGGAGAAAACACCCTCCATAAACTCCACATATTGTTGCTGCATGTGGGGTTTCCTTTGCATATTTCGTTTTAGGGAAGTAAATCGACTGACTGCTAGCTCTCTGTTGTTTGGCATTTGCTGGCGAGGCTCTTTAAAGGGAAGAGGGGCGACCCAGCTATTATCATCATCTCTGTACATGCCTGTGTCCATTATCTCTAAGAAGAGAGTGTCCTCTATGGAGGGAGCTAGCTTATTGTCATTTTCAGTGTGGTTAAAAACAGACTTTCCCAGAGTTTGCTCAGGGGCTTTGCTGGGCCTGTTTGCGTGTGGCATTCCTTTGAGTAGCAGAAAGTTATCACATTGTCCAAAAACTGTTGGGCGGCCATTTTCGAGAATGACTGTCTTGAATGAGCTAACTGTTTGCTTATGGACGTTACCTACACACACTTCCCCGATTACAACCCACCCTAAATCTAGGCGCTGGGCAAAGGGTGCATGATGAGGGCCATTGACTTGTTCCCTGACTTTGTGTGCACGTAAAACGTCTCTTCCTAGTAGCAGGAGTATTTCTGCGTTCGGGTCTAGCTCTGGAATGTACTTTGCTATGGACCGAAGGTGTGGCTGGTGCAGTACAGCGCTTGGAGTTGGGATTTCACTTCTATTATTGGGGATATCTTGACATTCGATAAGAGGAGGCAGCGGGATTATCGCTGACCCATCTAAAGACTCAATCTGAAAGCCTTCAGCCATTTTGCCCCATGTTTCAACAAGGCCAGAGCAGGTTCTCAGGTTGAAGCAAACAGGCTCGTTTTTAATGTTAAACAGTTCAAAGAACTCAGGCTTAGCTAAGGAGCGGTTGCTCTGGTCGTCAAGGATAACATAAGCTTTAACTGCACTGTCTTTATAACCTTTAGGGTACACCTGAGCGAGACATATTTTAGAACAAGAACGACCCCACTGACCTGGACCGCACACTTCTGTGCAGCTTGTAGTTACCGCAATGCTGTCAGAGCTTTCTCCCTCCCCGCCGTCCTCTTGACCAGGGTTAGGAGCCATGTTAATTTGTGGTGGAGGTCCAGGATGCATAACTGTGTCGTGACTTGTACTATCACATTCAGAGCACTTTACTGTAGATTTACAGTCCTTGGCGAGATGAGTGTCTGAAGAGCAGCACTTGAAGCAGATTCCTTTCTCTTTGAGGAAGGCCTTTCTTTCGTCCAGTAGTTTGTTCCTGAATGTCCTGCATTTCTTAAGGGGGTGAGGTTTGTTGTGTAGTGGGCAGTTCTTGTTAATGTCCTTGTTGGGGGGTGTAATATTTGTTTTGTGCACAGCTATTGGTTTGGCAGAAGTGAAGTTCTTTAGGTTGGGTCTTTCTTGTTTCAAATGCGTTTGGCTAATTTGTTGGTTGAAACTTGGATCGTTGCGTTTCTTTGCCTCTCTGCATATGAACCTACAGAAGAAGTCAAAGGGTGGAAAACGGCCATGATTGTCGTCTTTGTACTGTGAGCCTTGAGACATCCATTTCTCTTGGAGGCTGTATGGGAGTTTGTCGACGATTGGTCCAATTCCCCGAGAAGTGTCTAGATAGAACAATCCAGGGAGGTATCCGTCCTCCTTGGCGCCTTGGATCTCTTGTAACAGATCCCCTAATTCTCGCAGCTTTATATTGTCTTTTACGGTTAATCTGGGAAAACTGTCCAGTCTTTGAAAGAGTGATTTTTCAATTATTTCAGGGGCTGCGTAACACTCATGAAGTCTCTCCCATGCCTTCTGCAGAGCTATTGCGGGGTTATTGACATGTACTGAGCGAATGCGTTTGACCTGATTGCTTGACTCTTTTCCCAACCATTTTGTCATGAGATCGAGCTCTTGAGTTGGTGTGAGATGGACCTCTGCTGTTGCACCAGTGAATGAGGAGTACCATGCTCTGAAATTCTCTGGCCTGTCATCATACTGGTAGAGACCTGAAGTGATTAAGTCACGACGTGCCATGTATTGTGCAAATGGCTCAGCGGGATGTGACATGCTCGCAGGTGTATTGTAGTGAGGCGTGAATGGGCTGGAAAATGGGCTGAGAGCGTTCTTTGTTGTTCAACTTTTGGTTTAGCTTCGACTTTAGGAGGGACAGTTGTACTTTGAATAGGCAAAGTTGCATGGTAGTTATTGAGCTGTGGTTTACTGCTGGGTGGTGGCTCTGAGTCTGAAACATTATCTTTAGGTGAGTGCCAGGTGATGAATGTGTCAGGTGAGAGTGCATTTTGCTGGTAGGTTGTTGGCACTGGTGGGGGGTCTTGGGGCTTCCTAAAGTCCATTTGAGACTGTACATATTCATTTGTTCTTTCTCTTTTTATTCTGTCTGATACTGATCTTCTGCTCTCAATTCCGTCTTGTATTGCTTCTGCTTCCTCTAGTACTTCTGCTTCAGCTACTGCAGCGTCTGCCTCTCTTTTTAGCGTTAGCACTTGTAGCTCTGCATCAATTTTCAATTTTTCCAATTCACTTATTGCTTTTTCTACTTTTAGCTGTGCTTCTTTGCTTGCATATGATGCTCTCACCTTAGCTGCTTCTGCTTTAGCTCGTGCACGTGCAGCGCTTTTTACAGATGACGATGAAGAGCTGTTGGACCCAGTTGCTGTGGATCTGTTGCTGGCTGCCATTTTGACCACGATGAAGCACCGAATGCTGCCTTTTCACTGTTATGTCCTTGATGTGACACTTAGTTAAACCATTGAAGAAGAACCACAGGAGAAGTTTTGGAAGTTTAATTTTCCTCTTCAGATGGTGAAAACTGTAACATACAACAATATTGCTCTTAGAATCTGAGCCGAATGAAACACAAAAACAAAGTGCATTCATCTTATCTAAGACACTATATATTCACTTAATAAAACAAAAATACAAATGTTCAGGAACTTATAAATGCATAAAGTAACTCACGGCATTGCTTGTTATGCACTCCAAGGTGGATTAACAAAGATGAGACCAGCCTGTCAGATCCCTCATGCCGCCTGTCTAGCATGGAAACCGGAAATAGCAAACCGGAAGTGACGCGCCAAAACCGGAAGTTCCCCCATTCCGCTATTTTCTTAATTTAAACCATAAATATTCATTGAAATACCTCTTAAAAATACTTCTAAACGATCATGTAAACCATCAAAGATTTTTTATACATTTTTAAGCATGAAATTAATTTACTTATTTATTGAAAGAACATTATGAAATTAGCAATTGCCTTAAAGGCAACACAGTGACGTTACCCACAGCGTTCAGCTCCGCTCAAATGAAGCAAATTTGGAGCCAGGCTCTGTATTATGAAAAGGATTTTTGACAGACGAATAGCGAAAAAACCCACCAGGATCATGTACTGTGGGTTAATATGAACATTTTAAGACCAACATTACAAGGCTCACAGTCGCAGTTACAGAGAGAGGGACCACAATATTCCAATGTAAGTCAATGGGAACCAGGGTCAGAAGGAGCCCACATGCGAACTCCCTCTCTGGAACGAGGCAGCTAGTGTGTTAGCTGTGTCCATTTTTAACGTACAGTCTATGGTTGCAACAGAAAAGTACTGACAGAAAAAAGGGGGGATACTAAACACTGGGAAGGGCAATGCCAACTATATATTTAATGCAAAACCTTTGTGGCTCCTTAAACCAATTAAATTTACATTTAAAAATCTGCACCCCTCTCTGTAACTGCTGCTTGGTTGTACAGTATTTGTATTAATCTGCTCTAGATCCAGGTGTTTTTATTTCAAATTTTTTCTGTAAATACGTTTTTATTCTTAATATTGAACTCAGCTCCAAATTTGCTCTTATTACTGCAAGCATAGTTCACTTCTTTATACAGTCTATGGTTTGTACTCACCACTGCTAGATCAATGCCTTGGTATCAGTTCAGCATCAGTTAGTTGTTTTGCTATTGTTTTAATCTGTTTTATGTTAATCTGCAAAGAAAACATCTTGGTGCACATTAAAGTTGTCTAGAGCCCGCTGCCGCAGTTGCACAAAAGTTTTGGAATGGCCCAAAAGAACTATATGAACCTGGGGGTAATCGTCCAGCAAATGTTTCATCAAGTGCCACTTCCTCAACAGATTTGCATCCTCCTCCTTTTTTCCAACGCTTCCTGCTCTCCTCTCCGTCATGTGATGAATGACCCTTAACAGCTGTCAGCGTAGCCACGTTTAATAGCTTCTGCAATCACGGCAACATGTCCACCGCAAACACAGACCTCTCCGTGCTCCTTTGTAGTTGGGAGAAAAACAGCGGTGTACAATCAGTACATCACTCTGTCAATGGAACAAAGGTATTCTCATGCAAATAGGGAGCTGCTCTGTTAAGCGTGTTGTTACTGCATTTTTACTAATATAGGTGTGTACTATGTGACTCATTTGTTGACAACAGTGATGATAATAGCTTCATCATTTAAAAATACTTTGTTGTTGCACTTGTAAATATCATATATTAAATATAAAACATTTAATTGCTCAGTTTTAACACTTCAGTCTTTGAAGCCACATGAGGAATTTCTCCATGTGAGCAATAGCTATTCTAGTTAGTTATCCACCTTATTCTGAAAGTTGCCGTGGGCGCCGCCATCATCACTCAGGTTGTACTATTTTGTATAGGGTTGCCGATTTTGACAGCAAATGAATTTAGTACAGACGATAAAGCCGTTTTAAAGTCCCCCAGAGAATAAGTGCAGTATTTACTTGTTCGTGCACACGAAAATTGAACATTTTACACAAATGAACCAACTTTATGTCATATTTAAGGATAGTTCAGTGTATGTCAAATATACCAGCTAACTTTGAAGTTACTCCAATTCAGTCAGTACTGAAACACTGTTGCCCCTGTCTTTGTAAATGCTGCTGTCAAGCTCATCATTTCATTCTTAAAATGTTCTTATTAACCTGCTCTACATGGTCCTGGTGTTTTTATTAAATAAATAAAAATATGAACATTAATAATAGGTACCTTCTTTTGCAAAGGTCACTGACACTGACACCACCCGCTCCCTGCTAAACCAGTGGTGTGGGCAGGAAGGGGAGTTAACTTCAACAACCTCGCTCCAGACTAGTGGCTGTTTGCCATGATACACGTGGTCTAATTTGGCTCCAATTCAAATCCAAATCCTCGGTGAGCTTCATTTCACTGGTGCCGAATGCTATGCGGTATCACACTCACTAATGCTGCATTCATTTATCCATCCGTTTCCCTCTTGAATATGATGTAATGTCCAAGCTTCAACCATTTCATCATGTGTCCGTTTCTATGACGCTATGTTGCTGTTGTTGCATCTCGAGGAAGATTTCAATATAAGTAGTATAATTCAGTATATTAGTGAAGTGAAAGCATTGGTGTTGTGTGATAGTAGATAATTTTGGCATATTAGCTGGCAGGAAATGGGAGAAAAACAACCAAACCCATAGGCAGTGATACGGACGCAATAAGGTACTGCAGTAATACGATTGACTGAAATTGCCATTTGAACCACCAAAGCGTCCAAACACAATGAAAACATTTCATACTACAAGTGACACTGGGCGCAGCCATCTTGGATAAACGAGAGCACCATTAGTCCACTTCTTTATACAGTGTATGATTCTGACCCAGTGCAAGTCTAACGCCTTGACCCAAACCTATGACAAGAATTCAGTCAGGTTCAAATCTAAGATGGATCAAAACCAAGTGAACAAAAAAGCAAATAAAAAGAAGACACAACTGTACAAAAAAGTTTAAGGACTACAGTTCATGGGACATTACATAGAACAAAACAAAAATATATGTCAACTGTCCCTCCATTGTTTGTAAAAAAAAATAAAATAAAATAACACTCTAAAGGCTGGTATCGTTCCATACGTTGGCTCCAAAGCATTTTCAAAGGGAATGTAGCATGAACCACAAATGATGAAAAAACTGGTGTGTTTTGGTGACTGACATTCACTCAGTTCAGTCACACATGAGTAACAGCAGGGAGAGGCACTTAGCTTAGTTTTGTTCACATAGCTATTAGCTCCAAAATTAGCATAAATGCTAACAACTGCGTGATAAAAATAACGTTATGCTGAACAGTAATTAACCAAAATTATCACAGGCAACAACAGTTTGGCAATGAAATGTGTTTTGTTTCATCAAGCACCACAAATACTGTGTAAATTAGTGAACTTTTAAAAATTGAGCTGAAAGATATTCAATTGTATATAATGAACATATAAAAACATGGGTTCTCTTTTGTTGAATCACTTTAGCTGTGTATAAACATACACTAAGGTCTCCTAGTTTTCAAGCATGAAAAGCGAGGAAAAAAAATCAATGCACACCTCAGAGAATGTGATGAAATCATGACAGCACATATAGATCTTTCAGACACCTCAGGGCATGCTCCAAAGCTAATAAAACCTGCCTTACTTTAGCATGAGCTCACATTGCTGAGACTTGACACAGAATTTACTGTACAATACGAGTGAACTCTCCTCTCTCATCCATTCTGTTTGTTTGAGAAGCTGTAAAAATGTAAGTGAAAAATAAAAAATACTAGAAGTGCTCAATTGAAGTTGCTCATTGCAGTATGGAGAGTAAACCAATTATAAATAATAAATATAGCCACAAGCAACAATGATCCTCTCTCGCTCGTGCCTATGCCGCGCCCACGCCATGCTGCACCCTGGACACACTGCGCCTCTACACATGCTGTGCCCCGCAAACGCACCTTACCCCTTGCCCGAACTCCTAAATTAACCCTAGCCCTTTATACTAACCCCTAACCCTAACTGAACTCCTAACTGTAGCCCTAACCCTAGCCCTAATCTTAACCCTAGCCCTAACTCTAACCTAATCCTAACCCCTAACTTTAACCTAACCCTACTATTTTTCTCTGTTTTTCTCTGTTTTTCTCTTCGATTATTCACATGCCCAATGTACATTTTTGGAGTTTACCAGGGTTAAAGATTACAATTATGCTGCTATCGCAGCAATGGTCAATGCCAGTCTGTACTATTGGATGCCATGAGTGTCACTATTTAGTGTGTGATAAGGGGATAGTGCTTCGTGCTCTATTTTCACGGACAGACTTGTTTTGGGGTGAACAAATACAATTACATGGGTGATGCCACCTTGCCATGTCAGCGGGCATCAGTCCATGACATGATTGCCACTGTGTTTGGAAAGGGGAGAGCGTCTTCGTTTCAGTGTGCTCAGGCCTAATTATAAGACCAGTTCTGCTTATTTTGTTATTTGGAATGTTCATGGTGGTCTTTTTTTATTAATCTGATATATTTCTTTGTGGTGGCGCATCTAATTAAGCAGGAATCCCATTCATTTCAGTGGAGAATTTGATAAAAGTTTCACCACTAAAATATTACATACATTAAAATATATAAAATGTAAATAAAATTTTATAAAATTTAATGTTCATGTGCACCATCAAGTCTTTATTGCTTTAAAGTGGCTCCATGCAAATAATACAATCCGAATATCGATGGAGGCGCCCACAGCAAACTTCTAAAATAAGGTTATTTTTGCCACAGTTTTCTTGAAGTCCCTGATGAGAAATGACAGGGTAAGTTGTATTAGAGATGACTGTTGGAATTCTAATATGGTCAATGAAAACTGAATGAACGGGGTTGAAAGAGCCAGACCTCTTACTATTTAGATTCTTGTCAAGGGCTCTTTGCGCGTTATACTTATTCATCATTTTTCTATTCTCCGTGTACAGTAGATAAGGAGGGCTTTTGCCAACAAAGGCCGACTTCAAATGGATTTTTGCAGCGAACAACTGACTTAGACTCGCAGAATTTCCCACTTACTTCACATTTCAAAGACCTCTTGCACCTCGGGTCCTGAATTCCAATTAATGAATCCCAAATCTCCATTTCACCCAATAATAGGCCAATGACAGATACTATGTTCTTTTTCATATAGACTATAAACAGGAAAGCCTTTAACCCACTTCATCTATGTCACTGGAGAATAGTTCCTTCTCTTCAAAAAAAAAAAACATTTGGATTATGTAGTTAGGCTGTAGGCCCACTCATGTGAGAATTGGGTTGGGGAGAAAACTTAAGTCAACTCTTACTGTTACATTTTTTATTTTTTTTTTATTTTTTAATTGCTCAAAAAAAACAAAATATTGCATAAAATGGAAATGCAGTCCCCAAGTAATTC